GTTGGGTAAGATTTGGGGTAAATGATTGGTAAACTATGATTTAAGCTGTTTATGGAAAGTGTGACGATAGGCTCCTTTTGCTATCTACTAACGTTATTTACGAACTCGCAGCGAGTCTGATTATAACATGTATGCCAGAGCTCGAAATCAAGCTAAAAAAGTTTGTCGCACTGCAGTGAAAAACTTCGAAAAAAATATTGTTAAAAATGCAGAAAAGAATCGGAAAGCCTTCTTTTTGTCCGCTAGTTCGAAGTGTAAGTCAAAGGACGGTATATCTGATTTGAAAGTAGACCAACGAAAGATTTCCTCTGATGACGGCAAGGCTAACGTTCTTATTCAGTTATTCAGCAGTGTGTTCACAGATGAGGACTTGAACAGTATTCCAGATATTGAAGAGCGCCCAGTCGGCTCGAAGTTAACATGTTTTGAAATACACGAAGAAGAGGTTCTCAAGCGCCTGGTAGCTATAAATCTCAAGTCATGTGGACCAGACGGCTTCCATCCCAGATTGCTCAAAGAATTGGCAACCGTTCTAGCCGGCCCATTGACAGTATTCTTTTAAAAAACCTTGAACGAAGGAAATTTGCCGTCCGACTGGAAAGAAGCTCAAGTAGCACCATTGTTCAAAAAAGGTGAGAAAAGCAGCCCCGGCAACTATCAGCGTTTATTAGGCCGTAGGCCTGTCGCCGATTCTTAACATCGCAGAAAATTCACAGTATTTCGCGGTCTCGAACTCGCAACTCTCACTGCTACAATTCTGTCGTGCTTAACCGCCCGGCCTCCTTGCAGATTCTGACCAGAAACTGGCGCACAGAGCTGGGATCGAACCCGCGCCTCTCTGCGTCAATCTTGGTACTCTGAACTGTAACCACTGGGCCACCCTGTAAGCTGATGGAATCTGTTGTGAGGGATAGGATTGTCGATCACTTGACTGCTCACCATCTCATATCAGATTGTCAACATGGTTTTATTGCCGGTAGATCCTGCACCAGTAACTTATTATCTACGCTGAACGATTGGACTCGCCAGCTGAACGAAAGGGAGCAAGTGGATGCATTGTACCTCGATTTTGCCAAAGCATTTGACAGTGTTCCGCATGAGCGGCTGTTGCGTAAAGTGAAGTCTTTGGGAATTGAGGGAAACGTACTCCAATGGATCAGAGATTTTCTAGTAGGTAGACGACAACGTGTCAGTATTAAGAACAGTGTCAGACTGGGCATCAGTACGCACTGGCGTGCCACAAGGAAGCGTTCTTGGGCCTATTTTGTTCGTTGCTTATATAAACGATTTGCCAGAAGCAGTGTCCAGCGTGTGCTCCATGTATGCCGACGACACAAAAGTTTATAATACAGTGAAGGATGCGTCAAATAAAGCGCAAATACAAGATGATCTTGACAGTTTAGTTAACTGGGCTGATACGTGGCAGCTGCGGTTTAATGCTGACATGTGTAAAGTACTTCACCTCGGGAAGAACAATGAACAGCAAGATTACAGTATGAGAAGACATGGTTGCAACGAGAGAGTAATGATTGAAAAGTCTAGTGTGAAAAAAGATCTCGGAGTTTATGTCGACAAGGAGCTGAAATTTTCTATGCATGTTGAAACGCAAGCTAACACATCCAACAAACTTGGATGTTAGTCTTGGACTAATCAGACGCTCATACGAGTCCCTAGAGGCAGAAGCGATGAAGCAGTTGTTTGTTGCTGTCGTGCGCCCGAATCTAGAGTTTAGAAACGTTGTGTGGTCACCGAGATTTGAAAAAAGACAGAAATTTAATAGAGAATGTTCAAAGACGTGCAACAAGGATAATTCCAGGCTTGAAGGGCAAGTCCTATGAAGAAAGATTGAAGATTATGAAGCTTCCAAGCCTCAGTTATCGACGTCTGCGTGGGGACCTCATTGAAGTATACAAGTATACTCGTGGGTTATACAAGGTCCCCGATGGATTACTAGAATTTGAAACAAGAACCAACACCAGGGGCCACGGCCATAAACTAAAAATATGCGCTGCAACTTCTCCACGCGACAAAATTTCTTCTCGCTTCGAATCACCGACATGTGGAACAGCCTCCCCGATGACATCGTTGGCGCTCCAAGTATACTTGCAATTGCGCTTTATTTGACGCATCCTCCACTGTATTATAAACTTTTGCGTCGTCGGCATACATGGAGCACACGCTGGACACTACTTCTGGTAGATCGTTTATAAATGCAATGAATAAAATAGGCCCAAGAACGCTTCCTTGTGGCACGCCACTGCGCACTGATGTCCAGTCTGACACGGTTCCGGTAATACTGACACGTTGTCGTCTACCTACTAGAAAATTTCTGATCCATTGGAGTACCTTTCCCTCAATTCCCAAAGACTTCACTTTACGCAACAGCCGCTTAGTAGTACGTATATAAAAATATATATATGAATGTTAGTAAGTGGGCAAAAGTAATGTTTCTCACCATCTCTTGGTTTCACAGGACCCTGGTAGTCTTCGGACTTCTTGAAATACTCGAGGACTGTTTTGTAATTCCAGCCTGTATTGCCTAACGCTGCCCAGTTGTCGTAATCCTGAGGGTTGCCGCGGTGGTACATCAGCTGGTTGATGGTCCCTGAACCGCCAATCACTTTTCCTCTCGTGTACTCAACCTCCTAGAAGACGATAAGAAGGTTAACTGTTCTTAAGGAATGTTCTTCTTCGCAAAAATGTTCAAGTTTTACATGCATTGAAACCTACATATCTGATTTCACTGAAACTGATATTTTGAAGGGGAGTATTCACGAGATAATTGATTTTGTGTAAACAGAGCTTGGTGTGCGAGCTTTTCACGTAGAAAAAAATAAATTATTCTTATGTTGCATACGTTATTAATTGATAGTACGAATTCAAGAGCATTGTGGGAAGCTAAAATAGTTATTTCTGAGTGACCTTACTTTCTACATCGGGCTATCGCGACGATCACACAAAAGCGCTAAAAAGTTATTCACAGCCCTTGTAGAAAATAGAACTTCATGTGACGAAATGATTAAATTGAAATAAAACATCACAAGATATGACGAAGCTATTGTAAAAACTCTGTGTAGTGAGTATCAGGTTAAATAAAAAACTTGGCCATGGATATTATAGAGTTTTCATATATCTTGCAAATACTTTAGAATTTATCGAGAAGAAGTTTATTGAAAGTATAAGAAATACTACGACCAATGTTTTATTCTGAATCAATTAAATCGTTACTTGAAACGGTGCCCTTAAAAATCCAGAACAGTTATGGAACATAACAGCATTCAAAAAGGAAAGAAATGGAACATGAAACTATTTCAGTATTTCAAAAAAGCCAAAAAATTTGCCTAAGATTAGGTCATTACGTCATTGGAAGAATATCTTTCATAGAAAACATTGTCCAGTTGTATGTCCCTCTCTTGATGTCTGTATCATGAAAAGAGGACGATCGATCTTACCGTGCTTTTTGCAAACCTATTGGTGTATTTTTGAGGAGGTGTCTTGTACTCGTTCTTGTAAGTGGCATTAGGAAACTCTGAGCCAATGTAGAATGCTGGAATTTTGAAAAGCGCTGGAGGTTGACCGCCAGTTTCAAAAACCAGCACATCCCAGTCCGGCACCTCAGCCAGTCGCCCCGCCACCACACTTCCCGCCGACCCTGAACCAACTACAGACAAATACTGGTTGACATTGAACCATTTATATTGCAATCAATTAGCCCTGGTCAAATACTATTATTATCTGTCAGTAGACAAGGGTTTGAGAGCGCTGCATCACGCGAATTACCATCTTGAAAATAAAATGATTCGAAAATCTACTGAATAAATTCATTTAAATGCAGTGGTAGATTTTTGGAGATCAATATTGACTTATTATAAACCCGAATGAGAGCAAAGCAAATCTTTGTAAATAATTATATGAAGATAATAACCAAAAGTTTGTAAATTCAGGTGAAAAATGTTGATTAGTTGTAGTAACATACCGAAGTCCGCTTTATCAAAGAATGTGCCCATGGTACTTATTATGTTATCTATAAGGCCTCCAAACATGATGAAGGCGTTCGTAAATAATGCCAGATTAAGGACTTTCATAATGTGATCGTAATTCATCTGATCAAGCGAGTCACACACTTTCGGGTGCTGCTATGGGATCTACCATCCAGCTTCCAGCTACAATCCTCTAAAAGGTAAGTTGAATGGATAGGGGAAATAGAACAAATTATCCGGACAATTATTTATGATATTGATAGAGGGTGCCTAATGTCTCCATTTTTATTATTGGAATGTGACATCGTTTTGAATATATATGTATATGGTATACTCGAGAACCTGTAGCTCTTTTGAGGAGTGATGGCCACTGGACTATATCAGGGCATTAGACGTCCCTGCCTATGTTGCTACAGGTTTGTCTCCCAGCAATATCTTTGTCATTATAGTTTCCACAAATAAAATCTTTCCGCTTGGTCGTGGCAAACTGAGCTTTACATTCGAGAAGTTATCCCTGTCTCTCCGCCTACCAGTGGAGCAGAGCATCCTTCATTGATCTAAATGTCCATCAACATCAGTAATCAGATGAAGTGTACTTGAAAATAATTCGATTCGAGTGTGTGCGTAAGTTAATAAACAAACAAGTACTTTCTAGTGTTGCATCGCTCAGTTGATATGCACTTGTGAATTGTTTTTCCAGAGTGCCTTTAGAAATAAAATATGATTTAACAAATTTTCTGCTGATGCGTTTCGATTTTTTTCATCCAAATTGACCATTATATAGTATCTATTTTTATATGTCCTTTTCAAGGAAAATCAATTAATTTATTTCAATGAAGTCGTTACCATGAGTGATCAGCAACGCCAGCTCGTCTAATTAGTTTTCGCATCAGGAATAAAAATTACATTTCAAGAAAAGGCCCTAAGGCGGAATTCATGACGAAGCCAATTATTGGATAGATCGTATATTATTCTGTAAAATTTCCAAGGCCACCGTCTACGCTGATGTAGACAACAGCTGGCGCTACTTGCTAGAGTTCTTCAGCAAAATAAAATCAATCGATAAAAAAATTCTTTTATAATGTAAGAATTTAGTAGGACAAGTATACTTAATTTACAACAAAAATTAATCAATAAATCCATTTCAAATATATATCATGTGTGGATGGGCACTTATAAATTTGATCGATACATCATGCAATCATCACGTTACAAAAAATTTTTCACAGCCTTACCTATTATGAAGTCCACGATAATATCATCAGACATGACGCTAGTAGGATACCTAACCGGTTTAATTAGAGTGGTGGCAATTATAGCCAATAATTTTGCGAAAATATTTATAAAAGCAGATCCTGCCATTCTTGATTTTTTAAAAGTATTAGGTGGTATTTCAACGGTTTCTTCCAATTCTCAAGGCAGGTTCATTTAAATAAAAATCTATATGATGTTTGAAACTCGGAAATTTTCCGACGTGAACAAGAGTTTATGTGTAGTTCACTAACATCGGGAAGTCCTTCACTAAACTCTGCGCGATATGGTGCCCACTTTTATAGCCGAGCCCCTTAAGGTTTTTCAAAGGAGGAAAATTTGTGCATCTTGCCTTGAGATTGGAAGCCCTGACGCTATGATGCAGGACCGAATGCAATACATGCAAGACCGAAGGGAAAATTTATATGTTTCATCTTTAAAATGATTGCGAAATAAATTTCGAGTAGTATGATCATTTTTCTGTCTAGACTATATAGAACCTCGAGAATCCCAAACCCTCCGTCGAATAAGTTTTCTGGATGAATGGAAAGTTTGATTGATATTCAGGTTATAGACTGCTGTTGGATATCACAGAAGATATATAGCATTACAATGTTAGCTTACTGTTGGTCCCACTGAATCACAAGAGCTTATTCCACTGTCGATATACTATTATAACGGAATGTTTTAAATAAAATATTATAATTTCCTTATTTTTAATTATTGCCGGATCTGACACCATGATAGTAATTGCGAGAAAGTTTGAAGTCCTGGAGAAAAGCGAAGGTCATCTTCGGATTTATAGCCTGAATGCGTACCAACAAATTTCTAACGTGACTATAAGTAATCCAGCGGTCCTCGTAAGAAATGAGATTCTAATAAGAAATCAACGTTGAATCCAGCATCGTCATGCGGTGCCAAAAGCTCGTATATAAAAGATGAGTCCCGCCTATAAACTAATGAAGCGTAAGCACTGGTTTTATCACGACTTTGAAATTGTGTTAAGAGTAATTTGAGTTTTACTTTTTTAAGTTGTATCCACACTGCCATTTATAAGAACTTTTATAAATATTTATTTCAGATGGAAATGATATTGTCATTCAAGAATATCACTAAAACCTAGTCCCTCACATTCACGAAGAAGACAAGTGATAATGTACAGAGTTTTATAGTTGCTTGCTATGCCATGAAACATCAGTGAATATTACCTACCCAGCAAGGTGTTTTAAAATGTCAAATGTTCTAAAATATGTTTTGTTCGAGCATGAATAAGGTAAAAAAATTGGATTATGTACGTCAATTATAAAATTCAATAATTTATCATTTCATGATCGAGATTTTGAAATACATATAATATTTTTGAGGGGTGGAGGGAAGGACATGTGTTTTCACATCTGAGAAAAAGCGAATCATTTTCATTTAAAGATGTTACACACTTCATCCATTCGAACATGAAGGTTTTGTCTTATAAAATGAAAAATGATGCATCAAACGTTGACGAAGGTTTCGGAAACCTTTTACTAAGTCACACGCTCGAATCACAATCTGAACACACAGGCACAAAAATTACCATTATATACTCGTATTTTATCATGTATCAGTTGCGTGTGGCTATAATTGCATCTTTAAATATTTCTCAAAGCAAAGACTTTAATAAAAGTTATGCATCACAATTCGTGATTGTTGAGTCGCTCAAAGAGAAAAGAAATATCAGAAGCTACCAGTGACCAACATAGGTCTAATCTCGCTTATGACTCAATTAATGCCAGAGGGTTAACTCTGATTATCGTGATGGCTTCGGAAAGGGTCTAAAATAAATTAGTAGAGAACATTTATTTGTAAAATACCTTTATTGTTCCATGAAATTACATTGAGGAATTTATCTTAAATTATGACACACGTCCGCTATATTAACCTAATATTAATTAATGTAAATATTGTGATTCATGGTCAAGTTATGAATAGATCAAAGTTGATAAATCCCTTTTTAGTTGATCCACGGAAGCCGAGTACCTCAATCATATTATTCGATTTAGGTTATATAATTTCAAATCTTGCTCCCTATCAAGCATGGCTGTCTACTATATTTTGCCGTAGTCTTCTTTGATGAGGTCAGCTCCTCTCTCCGCTATCATGACCGTGGGGGCGTTTGTATTGCCTGACACAAAAAAATAAGGCTCAGTGTCAGACAAAATTTTGTTCCAGACAATTATGCATATATTTCATTTTATATCTTGAATTGTATGCAGGAGCACTTCGTCATATAATAGAAATTAATTATTTAAACTCAACAAAAAGTATCAGCTTTTTTACCTGAAGTAACGGAAGGCATAACGGAAGCGTCGATGACTCGTAAATTCTTGACACCTCGCACCCTGGAAGTTTGCAAGGCAAATACAAAAATGTGGATATATAAATTCACAATCAAATTCATCAAAATGTAAAAACTTGAATACGAATTTGCTCCTTTCATTTTTCCACCTCTCCACGTAAATTTATTCAATCTCATCATGCAGGAAGTCTCAGTTTTCTTGGCGACGTGCACAGCATTGCATTGTTAGGGTGTATTTTCAGTAACAATCCTCTCGTAAAAAATAAGAGTAGTTAGTGATAGTACCAGAATAGGTATCGTATATTACCTGATGTTGACTTCGTTTATGACCTAACTTGAGAGTGATAACGCTCTTTAATGATGCACAGAGTCGAGACTAACAGAGTACGTATATGAGAGATACACGACTTACAGTTAGTTGGAATTGCGACACTATTATAGGTCATAGAATGAGCAATTGAGCATATCTTCTGAGCATTATCTGCTCAAGACTGAAGATCTTAGCGCAGCACAAAGCTACACAAGTATGGTCTGGCGGACGCCATCACAGAGCGTGAGCCACCACCGTGTAAATAAGAAGAGGAAACGTATAAAGAAGTTCTAGGATACATCCAAACTCGAAAGGCAGTAATAATTCTTTAGCAATTCTCACTTGAAAGAATAAACGTAATTAAACTTTATGTCTGAAAAAGTCGTATTGTGCCATTCACAATGCCACCTCACGAAATTGTGAACTTTACAACCTTCTGTAACCTTGAAATTAAACCTGATAATAATGTTTGCAACAGGAAATTTTTGCCAAATAAAAGAATTTACTAGTCGGTTTAGTTCCGATTCTGTTGTTTACATTTATATCAATTATTTTGAACTTACAAATGTTGAAATCATGCAGTACTATAGGTCTGATGAACAGAAAGTGAGGCGGAATATAACATGATTTTAATTCTTGTTGCAGACATACAGAAGTTGGTACATTTCTAACAATGAGTTTAATCAGGCTCCACGATATTTTTAAACAACAATTTTATTTCAAAAACCCATATCTACTATCTCCGACGAATAATTTGTAACTTGAAAATTCGGATCTAATTTTCTAACTTAAACTTGATTGATCAGAAGAATCGACCGATTGGACGAAAGAACCTCAATTTCAACTGGTTTATGACAAATTTCTTTTGATGAGCAGGAATCGAAACAAATATTAACGATAAAACATTCATATGCGTCATAGAACTATAGAAAATTCGTTACATTTTCAATATGGAAAGAAAGCTGAACATGCAACGATAAACTACCTTGCCCGAGGCCGGATAATGAATTTTTTAACATTGGATATGATATGGCGCAGTACCGAAGAAGGTATCAGCGCCCCTGGGTAATAAATGAAGGAGTCATTATGACTGCCGTTTCAACAAACCCCCTACTCCGGCATATTCGCTCCTTTCAGATCGACATGTCTTACAAATTCGACTGCCGTACAGACATATACTGTGTATTCGCAGGTTGACATACTTTACATAGCTGAAAACACTAAATTTTACTCTTTATTTTCAATTTCAGCCCAAAAACTTGAACTTATATGTTTATTAGCGGCCGAAATCTAAGCATATCAAGTCAGTTGATTCTATTCTAATTCATCATTTACTCTTTTCGCTGGTAAGTCATTTTCTTTCGCTTTTTTAACGATTAATGCCCAAACGAGGAACCAGACATTCCAAATATAGTTAAAGTATGGTTCCAGCTATGTTTTCTCAATCATTCAAGACGAGGTACAAGTTAATGGCCAACACTACCCAATACCAACACGACTTTAATAGTCCTTTCTTTGCAAGCATGCTACAGGGTCGAATGGCCAATGAAGTTAACGTTTTAAATCCATAGCGCCTCGAATTTGCAACAACCACTGCTCTGGAGGGTTTTGGAAGGAAGACGGAAAAGACGGTTCGAAAGAATTTTTTTAAAAGTTTAGAGTCTCACCCTCAGAAAGTTTCCTTTTGCCAAATTATGATCATTTGCCAAAAATTAGTCCCATCAGATTTTATTTAGGGGTGCCTCATGCATGGGCAGCAAATTTTTAATATTTGCCGGATGAAACGTGTCAAAATGAATAAATAGGTAACTTTGAGACCATTTCTCTACCAAAAAAGCTGCTATGATCCATTTTTGCTCATTAGTGGTGTACTAACTACATGTATATAATATTAATGGTTGCCTAACTTTTATTTTAGTTGATATGGTGGTCCAAACTAACCGTGAAAACAGTTGTAAAGATTGCCGAGCTTAAGTGAATGTACAATGTCACCAGCCATTTTGGCTCATTCTGACTTACTTATTAGTTAGCAGTGTTGTAGTAAGATATTCTGCAACTGCAGAATCTATCAAGACAGTTAACTGTCAGTTTGGTGCGACAGTTAACTGTCAACTCAAATTATTTTTTCACTGGGGTGGCAAGCTTCTGATGATCTGTCAGGAAATGCAGTTGATGAGTTACGCAGTATTGTTATCCTTCCTTGCTGATGGCAGCATCAAGCTACTTCAAGTTCAAAATTTAGGTTTTGTGACAGTCAATACAATTTCACATGATATTCATGAGCAGATACGGTCATCAATCTGTAAATCTCTTATGGTAAGGATGTGTTTCGACATCATAGCTGCCAATACCAGCAAGTTTAGGGGCGCTAGTCCCCATGCATGATAAAAAATGTATGCTAAAGCCTGCTCAGGTTGTCATGCAGACTATACACGATAGAGTTCCTGCTGTCTGATACTTTTACAGTTTGCTTTGTGCCATTTTCCCTTCCTCACATTCTCATTTCAAATGTTTTTTGGGGTAAGTGGAGTCGGCTGAATAACAAACAGTTATTTGCCAGAAGTGTTCTACTACAACGAGATTAACACAGTTCAGTTAGAGCTGCATCGTTCAGTTGATGCCGCTGCCGTGGAAGCATCGAGCTCAAGAAACGCCTATAGCTCAAATTGCAATGCCTGTAGAGATGCCCTGATGAGGCTGTTGATAATAGAAAATTAGTGAATTGATTTGATTTTACATGTTACAAAAAACACGAGTATAACAACCTAAAACTTGAAATGATGCCGGACAGAGCTATTGAAATTCAATTCGTTTTGAAATCAGCGTAATGAATGCTATGCAAAGGATCAACCTACTCTGTGGTTCTGAACTTATGCCATGGCCACTCTGTCACCAATCTTTGGTATGCATTATTGTTTCCAAAGATGAAATAATGATTCTAATTAAACAGTGAGTGGGAAGAATATACAGTACACTCTGCAGTACAAACACTTGGGCATGAATTCAAAATATAATTTCGAAGTCTCTAAAACGGGCAACATTTTTCCCACGAAATTATCCAATACTGAATTAATACTTCAAGTTCGCTTGATGAGAACGAGAAATTAAATACAATTTCAGAAAATGCAACAATTTCTTAACTAACTTCTTGGCACGTATCACGAACGAATCCAATAATGGATGTAACGCTTGAAATGAGAATGTCAGGAAGTGACAATTGAACAAAGCAAATTGTAAAAAGCATCAGACTCTCAGACAGCATGAACTCTACCTTGTGAAGTTTGCATGGCAATCAAAGAAGGCTGTAACATACTATTTTTTCAAGGAGGAGACTAGCGCTCCTGGTTTTGGCATTTATGGTTACGAAACATATATACCTATCATAAGAGAATCAAATTGCCATGACCGTAGCTGCTCATGAACATCTTGTTATGCAATGACTGTCACAAAATCCAACTTTCGCAAATAAAGTAGCTTAATGCTGCCATCAGAATGGGAAGATAATAATACTGGTGAACCAGTCAACTGCGCATTACTTCCAGACAGATTGGCAGGAGCTTGCTATCCCAGTGAGCAAATGATTTGGTTTGACATTTAACTGTCTTAAAAGACTCCGCAGTTGCAAAATATTTTACAACAACACTGTTGTAGGATAATAAGTAAGTTAGAATGAGTAAAAAACTCTTGTGACATGGTACAATCACTCAGAAAAGGACAGTTAGGCAAGCATTAACATTTTATAAATAGAGTTAGTACACCATTAATAAGCAAAAATAACAACTTCTATGTACGAGAAATGATGAACTTATCAGGCAAATAATAAAACTTTGGTGCTCCTGAGGCACCTCTATAGATCATCTGATGGAGCCCATTTATGGCAATTGATCATAATTTGTTAAAAGGAAATGTTCTCGGGGGTGTAACCCTAAACTTTTTGAGATTTTTTTTTTTTTTGTGGGGGATACCCTGAATTGAGTGAGCACTAGGTGCTTACTGTTCGAGTCCCTTTACTCTTTGAGGATTTGCAGCCTTAGCATGTCCCTACCTATACACTTATCCCAACTCTCCATTCAAACAAACCTTACCTAACCTCATTGGATAGAGCTAACAGAAGAGACGGTGTAAGTGTGAAGGTAAGGCCATGCTAGGGTTGAAAATCCATGGAGACAATACTGACTGGAGCAGTGACTGCAGACATTCAGCGCTATGGCTTCAAGCCGTTTACGAGCTGGTGTGGCATGCATTGTTCCTAGCATGGGCTGCGAGTTTGTAGCTCCGAGGATAAGTGTAGTTGCGCGTGTTTTGGCTGGGCGTTGCTTTATGGGCGTGTTCCAGAGTTAACATTTTAGGCAATGGTTGCGCTCCCTTCAATACGACATGAATCATTTCTAGTTACTGCGCTAGAATACTTTCCATTATCGCTTTATACTATAACAATATTTGTCTTACTTTAGTCTAGGCGTAACAACGCCCATGGGGTCGGAGTCGGGAGCCATCTTGCAGGTGCTTGTCATGTGCGCTGAAACGGTGCTCCAGCCGTGCACGTAGCACCGCCAGTATGCGTCAGACTCGAACTCGAAATGCGCACAGTCAGGAACCGGCTGCAGAGAAGCAGTGCGAAATTATATATTTTTTCTCGTACGTGAATGAAGGTTATAGAATTGGAATTTGCATCAGGATGCGGTCAAGTAGTAACCTATGATAGAAAAGAAGTTACGGGCAATTCGTTAAACAGTTCCGATGAATATTCTAGAATGTTGTAATTTGACAATATTCACTACGAGTTGACTATCTATTCGATTATCTAATCTTTATCATAAGTTTATCGATTTACTGTCGATCTATAGAAGACAGCAGTAGCTTGTCATTTCTCGATTACAAAGTATCGAAACCCTACGATAGTAGTCGAACATCTTTTTTTTAATCGTTTTCCAACTGGCTTGATCATGAGCTTTTTTTAATAATCGTATATTCCATTTTCAATTAAATTCGATGCATATCATTAATTGGAGTCATTGATATCATTAGCGTCATTAATACGCCGCACCAAAATAATTGGCTCCACCATTCACCCTATGCATTCTGGAATTGAATGTTTGGGATCAAAATTTTTCAATAAGTGGTTTCTGTTGATCTCGTACTTACTGAAATAAAAAAATTTCATGTCTCAGTAATATTATGAAGTTGTTCTTGAGGTTGATAGGAATATTTTTTACGGCATATTACCATACTTTTCGATGATACTAAAACTATCTATGTTCAAATATTTATTAATGTTATTGATGAAATATTTTCCTAATGTTTACCACATGTGTTGTTGGTCAATAACTTAAATCAATATTTATTCGTTTTTAAGGTAAAGTATATTCGTACAACCCATATATAGGCAGTCTTCTCGAACTGGTTCACGAAAAGACGTGTGCGCATTGTGCTGCGCATGTCGGTGTGACGTCACCTAACTTCCATATAAGATTATTGGAGTGCATCGGGGCAGGAGCTATCGCATCGGCAGCCTTATTTCGCACCCACCTCATTTAGCTTTGTGCCTTGACGCTGAACAGTATGACAATACAAATTTCTAGACTATTTTCATATTGCCTGCGATGCTATTGATTTGTGTTTATTAGAATACCTTAACATTTGTAAACAGAAACCTGGTCTGAAAAACTTATAGTTCTTATCAGCATGGAACTGTTGATGTTACTTAGTTACTTCTCTTTTATTCTCTTCATTAATTTTGGTTTCAAGAAGTTTCTTATCTAATAAATACCCCTGTCCTGTTGACTAAATCTTATTATGTAAGATTTACTAATTGGTGATCAAGTCGGTTTTCGGAATGTGTCATATGAAAATTTGACCAATTTTCTGGCCCTTTTCTTTGATTACAATCATCGAATTTTATCCTAATCATTGTAATTAATTCTATCGTATCACAATCATCGATATTTTTTAGATTATAACATTTTATTCCAGTAGCCTCATCGTGCAGCATTACAATACCTGGAGAAAGGGGGTTAGAACATTTTTTTGGTTTGAAATTAGGTACTTGATATTTCTTTCCGATTTTAAAATATTTGAATATCCTTCAATTCTCGACACGTTAGTTATGTGAGAATTACAGAGCAGTTTATAAAAAATTATTGTTAAAATTTTATTTTATCAAAACTTCTTTTTCTTAACGTTTTTTATTTTTTCAGAATTTTGATACAAGGAGATAAGAGGTAACTGAATTCTTTAATCGCAAGGATTATATACTGACAAATGCCGTTTAACGGAGCAAGTAGATTTTACAACAATAAATAATAATTAATTCGATTGTCAACATGAAATTAATAAACCTAAGAGAAACCTATTAGCTAGAGCTTTTATAAGAAGAATGGAATTTAATTAAATTTTATAGATTTACCTCACTGAAAGCTTCAGCACCGAGTACACTTCGGAATATCTTGGCATTCCCCAGCCTGCGCGAGGCCTTAGAAGCTGCAAAAATTATGCATTACTCTGTTCAATAAAAAGCACTGATAAAAATATGGCACATTTTTGTTAGTTTAGACGCGCAAATCTCTCAAAATCTGAAAACAAATATTGATTAAATAGATGTCACTCATTTGCTTAAATTGCAAGTTAACTAAAAATTTAAAAGCAAAAAAAAGTCCACAAAAATTCATATCTTTATAGAAAAAGTTTCGGAGTCCACGCAGATCCATCGTCAGTTCGTAGAATCTAGAATTAAAAACCACAATTCTACAAACCACAAAACCTAGAACACAATTAAAAACCTAAATTTACAAGTAATAGGGGCACAAAACCTATCTATTCAAAATTTCAAGGGGATTGGAGCTAACAGCTTAATTTAAACTGGGCCTAAGTTAAAAATGTACAATGACTCTAAAATACGCAAATCTGAAGTACCGGAGGTAGAAGCTAACACCCTAAAGTCACTGTCAGAAACAGGCACATCACACTGCTCGGCGTGAGCGCGTACAGCCGAATGAGGGGGGCGCGATAGCAACTGTCCGGTCCTACAACTCCTGCCCTTATGCTCAGCGACCCTGGAATAAAGATTGCGTGACGATCATCCCGACGTACGCAGATGCACATCGTGCACAACGAAACCGATAAACCAGGGACGATCGCATATGAACAGGGAGCATATCTTTATATCTAAAGAAAGAACCGATTTTGAAACTGTTTACCAGAAAAATATGAAGTTTGACGTTTGGAAAGTATCTATCGAACAAGACTTTTAATTCTCTTGACATAGCTTCGGACGCAGGGCCGAAGTATGGAAAAGAACAATAAATAACGTTCCTACTATCGCGCTCGAGAGCAACCTCACTGAATCGCTTCAACATGAATTTCTTGATTCAGGTATACACCAAAATTGCCGGAAATCCATTAAGCGAGAAAATATTTCGTAAAAATTCAAATTCAGCGTGCATAGTTTGGTATGTTAAAAAAGCGAAAACCTCTGTATAATAATGTTTGAAGCCCATTTAACTTGAACCGGAATGAACAAAAACTAAAGAAACTGGTATCTAGACCGGTGAATGTCGGTTTTCGGAACACAGAAATAAAAAACCGCCATTTGATTTTGTAATATTGCAATCGAGGAAGGACACACTATTGTTAGATTCAAGCTCCATGGTAAATTTGATAGAATTATGTTGCGAGTTTACGTAATCAAATAATGGTTTGACATGAGAAGGATGTTTGAAAATTAAAAAGGTGTCATCGGCGTATCTGTTATAGAATATTGGCTTAAAATCAAAAGGACAATTGGCCAGCCAAGAAACCTCGTGAAAACACATAAAAATATTTGCAAAGGTCGGGCCAACTGGTAGTCTCATGCCTAAACCGTCAATCTGTCTATAAAACTTGCCAGTAAATATGAAAAACGAGTTAAGAACTGATCATTCTAAAAGAGATTTGAAAATTTACTGTTTAAACCGAACACAATATCATTAATATTTTTAAACAGAGAATTGAGACAAATTTCAATTGTTTCGTGAAGGGGTACATTGGTAAAAAAATTTTCTACGTCAAAGGAGGCCATAGTTAAATCCTGAACGTCAGTAAAATGTTTCATGCGTTCCACAAACATAGGAGAATTATCAACAGTATATTGATTAGTCGTAAGACAGTTTAAAACCGGTACCAGAAATTTAGCAAGTTTAAAACTATGAGTATTATAAGCGGCAAAAATTGGTCGAAATTGAAACTTAGAAGCAAAATCAGATTTGTGAATTTTAGGTAAGCCATATAATATTATTAATATACCAGGGCAAGAACCAGAGGTATAAAGTTTAGTGTAAGTTTCAGGTGAAAGGGCAGAAGAATCTTTGAGTTTACGCAAAAAATTATTGATTTTGTCTTCGACTTTCAAAATGGTTTTAGAGATCTGATCTGTAATTTCAACAAATTTGGAAGGATCGGTGAAAATTGCTATTAGGCTGCTGTATTTCCGGTACTTAGCTCCTATCCCCTTGAAATTGTGAATAGATAGGTTTTGTGCCCTATTACTTGTAAATTTTGGTTTTTAATTGTGTTCTGTGCTTTCAATTGTACTAATTTGTGACTTTCTATATGAATTCTAGATTCTACGAACTGACGTTTGAGCTGGACTCCGAAACGTTTTTGATTAAATAGTATATGATTTGATGCTCTCTTTTGCGAGTCACGGCTGACTAACAAGCACCAGTGACTCCCGCGAGTGAGACAATAGGCTTGGTCAGAAAATAATATTAGTTTAAAAATTATTTTTTAATACAACACTTCTAAAGAATCCAGTGTCTCCGATGTTACACATGTACAATGAATTCCTAATTTCATTTTCATATATCAAAAAAATAATTTTTAATTTTTGTTTATATGTATACAAATTTGAAATGTCAAAATCATTTTATTCTGTCAATTTATTCATGCCTCGTCTCCAACTTTAAGCAAGTGTTTCAAAATTTCAGATCGATAGGAGAGGTAGAATTGTGTTAAATATCAATTTTAAGATTTGTAGCAGACAAACAAACAACAAGAAGTGAAGTTAATGGGAAGTGTTTTAAAAAAGAAATGTCAACACAATTTTCGTTTATCAGCAAGCTGTTAACTTATCCAAACTGGTTATCTTGAGCATACCATCACACCCAACGAAAAGTTTATGCATGGAACGGAATCGACTAAAGTTATTAGTCTCTCTTATTTTCGAGTAATTTTTACAGATTCGGGGTTAACGGGAATTTTTCTTCGAAGTATTTGCCGGGTTGCAAATGAAGTGGTAATATTATTAAAACAAAAATAAACGTTAATAATGAAGTATCACTCTACATTTCAGAAATATTTTGCTTAAAATATGTCACCACAGAAGAAGATAGGCTAATATTTATTTGGAAATGCATTGCTCTCGTTTACCTTTGATCATGAGCTCGACGTCATCAGGATGGCTGAGGCAGTTGGGGTCTACGATTGGTGGATCGAGAGGATTTTTCGACCTAAGCGTGATCGATCCAACACTCTTGGGTCTGGCGAGCGCCGGGATCATGTAGTAGCCATCTCTTCCGTAGATTGGTCGAGTGTAATCTTGAACCTAGGGAAAACTTGTTAATTTGTAACCAAATCTATGCAGTCAGTTACAATTTATGATTCTGATGGTGTAAACTGTAAAGCGTATACGAATCAAGTCATAATGGAAAGGGAAATTCTTCTCAATGGCAATTTCTCAAGCCCTCCATGGGTAATAAATTTATTGTTTGTTTTGGGCATGTGTGTTGTCTCTTATGACTTGGCAGACGTGCTTAATAGCACGTCCACAAATTATTAATTTAGTATCAACATATTTTCATAGAAAAATTTATATTGCATAGTCAAAAAAAACAAAATAATATCAGCAGGAAACTGAATCACACGTGAATAACCGATTGCTTAAGTGGTTGAAAGCTGGCCAGGCCGTATAATTGACCCTCCAGCATGCATCCCATGGCTATGTGCGTGTCAGGAACATGGGGCTCGTGAGGGCTGTCGATGTTCAGGTGATACAGCGCACACACTCCGAGCGGAGCTGTCAACGGACCTGTCAGCCCAACAACATTTTCATTATAGAAATAGTAATAGCGGTTTCAACGTTGATTAGGCCATTAGACCTGTCGCCGATTCTTAACATCGCAGATCATTCACAGCTTATTGCGGTCTCGAACACGTTAATTATCGCTGTAATTCTGCTGTGCATGCTTAACCGCAGGGCCTCTTCGCCGATTCTGATCAGAAACTGGCGCACAGAGCTAGGATCGAACCCGCGCCTCTCTGCTCCAATCTTGGTACCCCAAACTGTAACCACTGGGCATTACTGTAGCCACTTGGCTTCATTAATTCAGCATTATTGACTACAAAGTAATTTCAGATCATGATTGAAAGGGATTGCAATGCATATGAAGCAAACAGAGAGTATTATCTAGCCGCCATTGGTCAGAGAGTTTTTCGTTATACTCGTATCGGAAATGCTCGCTATGAATTATCCGAAACAGTTTATTTCAGTTGTACACTTTTCTCTCATAGATAGCTCAATGGACCTCATGATGCAAAGTGAACTTGAATCCAAGGTTTTTAGTCTGCTCTTATGTTTCAAGATCGCTGACTGAAATATTACTGAAAAGTCATTCGAAAGCATAATAGAAATTATTATTATTTTTAAAGTTGATAAATTATTCTGACTGAAAATCATATTATTTGATTAAAACTGTTTGGGAATGTCATGACATCTAACCACTTTGAATGTTGAATGTATCACTCATATCATTGAATGCAAATTTCACTGAATATTCTAAAATATTCAGGAGATAATTTTCAAGTTCTAAAATAGACCAGCAGTAATATCAGAAAAAGTAAACATATAAAATATTGCAAACAAATGGAATTGCTACTGCCCAGGTAACCAGACAGCGCACCGCTGGCAGTGAAACACAGTGGAACACAGAACGTATACTGGCAAGCGTGAACGAGGTTCAGCAGTCTGCATATGACGAGTATAAAAGGCATACTGACAACGATGTCAGGCACATAGCATATCAGCTATTATTCGCTCTATTATGGTTCCATTGAAAGTTGTGCACCTTAACTCTACACAGCTACTTTTCCGGATTATGTCATTTACCTGATCTCATTTCTCTATAGTCCAGCATGGCTCTTTTACCAATCCTCGTAAAAATAGGAGTCGAGATGTTGTGGTTGATGGTCCAACTTATTCCCAGAACTGCTACGTGATCTTGTAGGTTCTGTCCAACCCCCGGAAGGTCGACTCGATTTTTAATCTGTTGCGGGCAAATAATATTCGTGCTGATATTTCTAATATCGGATATTACATGCACATAGATATCGTTTTTACGTTATCTTGTACCTAAACAAAACTTGCCCAAAACACAAAAAACGATGAAACATGACGGTTGAAAGTTATTAATGTTACATGAATGTCAAAGTATACGTTCAGAAGCGAGGTTTCAGACGAACAAACTTTTTACGATGGAAATTCAGATGGCACATCCTAGTTAAACGGCATTCAAATTATTTTCAATTGAAATTTTGATAATTTATTACCACGACGTAGCGAATCCACGAAAATATCAGGCTGATGGCCTTCGAATTAGTGTGGTAAAACTTTCAGAAATAAATCGAAGTAATCGAACATTTACAATACAAAAGTTTACAATCCTAGGGTTAAGTGTCAATATACAGAGACGGAAATGGCTATACGACCACCAAGTTTTCTCTAAATATTTTTTCTTGCACAAAAAAATACGGGATTCTAATTATACGAGGCTAAACTACGTTCAAAAACGGTTCCAACGCTTTACGAGAAAATAATTATTTTAAAATATATGAGAAGAAATTTTGAAAATTAGAAAAACATAGATTTTTCTTCATTTTAGTATCTTTCTGTAATATTTTTACGTTAAAAAGTACAGCAACGTAAAGAATATCCTGATTTTCGCCATTTAGGGCACTTCTGGTGTACTTCTGGTGTAGTTCAGTGCCCTTAATTATATTTTTCGAAGTAAAAAAGATGCCAAGAGAGACAAGACTCACAGAGGCGCAGATTTTGGCCATTGCAAAATGCGGTAGAAGCCAACGGGACATTGCTAAAGAAATAATACGCACAAAAACCGTTGTAAAAATCATTTTTCGCTAATTCGGACGGCTACGGATCAAAAATGCACCCTGATCCAACCCCAAAATTAACCGACAGGGATCTTAAGCGACTGTTTTCAGAGGCTTCTAAAGCTGGCGCTACCTCTACTTTTATAAAATTTGCCACTAGAGTTTATGTGACAGCACGATGCATCAGTCAGATATTGAATGACTCGAAGAAATTCAAGTAAATGAAGCGGCAAAATGCCCATGTGCTCAAACCAAAGCATATTATTATTATCAACCGACTAAAACTAGCTGAAAAAATGTGCTTATCGGTGAGGGATTATCTTCAGTGATGAAAACAAGTTCAATCTTGATGGTCCAGATGGATTGCAATGCTATTGCTTCCACCTGGACCTTGAGCCTAGATTATTTTCCAATTGGCAATCTGGTGTTGGTTCGGTCATGGTTTGGAGGGCGCTCAGCCGAAAGGGTAAATCAACTCCAGCTATTTTACAAGGGAGACAAGATTCCGAGGTATACAAGCACACGTACGCTTTTTCACCATCTTCACCCTTTTGCCGATGAGAAACATGAGGGATCATATGCTTTTCAGCAAGACAATGCTTCGATTAACACTTCAAAGTTAGCAAACAAGTAATTGAGAGTAATGTACTCAAATGGATCAGACATTTTCTAGTAGGGAGGCGACAAGTGCCGACAACGTGTCAGTATTAATGGGTCCGTATCAGACTGGGCTTCAGTGCGCAGCGGCGTGCCACAAGGAAGCGTTCTCGGGCCTATTCTATTCGTTGCGTTTATAAACGACCTGCCAGAAGCTGTGTCTAGCGTTTGCTCTATGTATGCTGACGACACAAAAATTTATAATACAGTGAAGAATACATCGCAAAAAGTACAGTTGCAAGGTGATCTTGACAGGCTGGTGGACTGGGCTGATAAGTGGCAGCTGCGCTTTAACGCCGAAAAATGTAAAGTTATCCACCTTGACAGAAATAATGAACAGCAAGATTACAGTATGAGAAGTGTGACGAACTAATCTTGAATCCCCGAATAGTCAATTAATCGCGTCACCTCAGAAGTTCGGATGGTCTAATTGTCACGTCCACCAATGACCGGAAATTGAATGCAACTTCCCTATTGGCCTAATCAGCAAAAGCTTGGACCGAGCGGATAGTTAATCAAACAAACTTACTTAAATTTTAAATTTATTTATTAAAGATAAACGGCAAATTGAAGCTAAACAAATCAAACAGGTGCGGCATATGAATTAAACGAACTAACAAATTAAATGCGGAGGAAGCTAAAGTGCGAGGAGAGCAAAATGCGAGGAGAAAGCTTACGCATGGAGATCTGATAAAAAGCACGATCCTAAAACAGAAAACAGAAAGCAAATATCTACGCATGACAAGTCGTTATATACACAAAAATCACGATATTCCATCAAGTATTCCAAGCTAAATTTCACCACCATAGCACGCAACTCACCCTGGCGTCTGAGTCAAAATCCTATAAGAGAGGAACCAGGACGCAAGTCGGCATCGGCATTGTATCTGACGGCTACACTCAATAATTTTAACACCCACGTCAGAGTCGGTCCTACTTAAACTTGTGAGTCTGACATACAGTATTGATAAATTTGCAGCTACACTTCATTACAAGAAGACACGGTTGCAACGACAAAGTGATGATGTCGAGGTCGACAACGGAAAAGGATTTAGGAGTTAATATCGACAATGAGTTGAAATTTTCTAAGCATATCGAAGGTCAAGTAAATAAAGCCAATAAACGACTTGGACTGATCACACGCTCTTTCGAGTTCGTAGATGCAGAAACGATGAAGCATTTGTTTGTTGCTGTCGTGCGCCCGAACCTAGAGTTTGGAAACGTCGTGTGGTCACCGAAATATGAAAAGGACAAAAATTTAGTAGAGAGTGTTCAAAGACGCGCAACAAGGATAGTTCCGGGCTTGAAAGGCAAGTCCTATGAGGAAAGATTAAAGATTATGAAGCTTCCAAGCCTCAGTTATCGACGTCTGCGTGGGGAGCTCATTGAAGTATACAAGTATACTCATGGCTTATACAAGGTCCCAGAAGGATAACTAGAATTTGAAACAAGATCCAACACCAGGGACCACGGCTATAAACTAAAAAACAGCGTTGGAACACATCCATGCGACAACATTTCTTCTCGCTTCGAGTCACCGACATGTGGAACAGCCTTCCCTGATAGCATCGTTGACGCTCCGAGTATGAACATCTTCAAAAACAGACTAGACGAAGCTATGCTGGAGCATATGTTCAGTCTTAAAATGCCTAGCAAATTACGGACCAGGCAATAAGTCCAGACGAAGCTATGCAGGAGCATATGTTCAGTCTTAAAATGCCTAGCAAATTACGGCAATAAGTCCAACAGCTATCTCAATCAATCGGCAGCTATGGAAAGATCGGGTTCCAAAGTCCGGATCCCTTGTGAATCAAGTCACGAAAAGCTCAAGAATCGGCAACAGGCCATGGGCCTATTTCTTCAACGCCGACACTTCTATTCTATTCTATTCTAAGTGGTTCCAAGAGCAGAATGTTACCCTGTTGCCGTGGCCAGCGCTTAGTCCTGACCTCAACCCAATTGAAAACCTATAGGGCATCATGGCGAGGGATGTTACCAAAATGAGCGCCTGTTCCAATCTGTGAGTGGCCTAAGCACGACTATCCTTCGTTCCTGGGATGAAATTTCTCAAAAGACTCTAGATTATTTAGTAAATCGCATGGGGAGAAGATGCATTGAGGTAATTAAGGCGAAAGGAGGTAAGATTACCTGTTAAAGCAAGAGAATGGGGTCCAAAAACTGAAAAACCTTTCTTGGACTAATAATCATTTCCACCAAGGTTTTTCTAATTTTCATAATTTCTTCTCATATATTTTTTTTCGTATAGTGTTGGAACCGTTTTTAAACGTAGTTTAGCCTCATATAATTATAATCCCGTATTTTTTGTGCAAGAAAAAATATTTAGAGTACTTAGAGAAAACTGGGTGGTCATTTATCAATTTCCGCCACTGTAGATGTTTTAAGGGCTAACACATTCTAGATTATTAGAATCAAATGCAACTTCGTTAGTTACCTTATCATACTATCTTTTCACCATGGTAATCTCTTGGGATGAAATACTAATTTAATGAATCGTACGCATGCGCCGTTCTGACGCAACCAAGATTCGTGTAAATTTTATGGCCTTAAAGTGCTTGAGTTGGAATCATAAAACCCAGATTCCTCTCTGAATATCACCTTCCATCTTCCGACAATCTACATCAGAACTCGGAAAATGTGCTCAATATTCTATGCGAAGTAATTTGGACATTTATAATCAAGTACTAGTGATGATTCTGTAGGAACAGATTTCATGGAATTTCAACACTATCTATGTAGCAAATGAATCTATGTAGCTAAAAAAATACCGTACAATCGTCACAATTTTGTAAACATATGCAAAATATCCATGACAATATTATGTAACAGAAGTAAAACGTTTTAGTATATAAGTATCCCAAAATAACAGCATTACTTCAGTTGCCACAGTTAAAACGGCGAGCAAAAAGCGAAGCAATTCCGCCCTTCTTTTTCCATATACTCAGATGTAAGCCTGTATATTTTTGGGTGCACGTGTGTACATGACATCAATAATAGCTTATAACATTATAAGTGTAGTTAGGCTGAAGCTGCTCATTAATGCAAGCTTTATCCAAGATCAGAAAATAAGTTTCATTATAAATTTTTATTTTTGTTTGCATTTTGCGAATCAAACTTTTATTTGGATTGGGAACTTTAAAGATTATATTTCCAGGAGATATTTTATTTTATTTGTTCAACGTTTCGAATACGAATTTTTGTAACACGAACACTTAGTAAAGATGAACACTGATTAGGCAGTGTGATTTCATCACTGTCAGTCAGTGAGCTCTCAACACTGATAGAATATATTGGAAGTGTCGGCACTGAAGAAATAGGCCCATGGACTGTTGCCGATTCTTGTACTTTTCGTGACTGCGACATCATCACTGATAAGGCAGCGCAATATCAGCACTGATAAAGTAGTGCGATATCAACACCGAAGAGACAGTGCGATACAATCGCTAATAAGGCATTCTTTAATTAAAAAATCTCATAGTACGAAAACTTTAATTTCGCTTGGTGTCACTTGTGAATGATATCGAGTCAGTTTACAACATTCAGTAATCGCATATGTATTCGATTAAGAATTTTGAAGAAAGCGCGATATTTTAAGCCGCGATAAATGCAGATCGAAGTAACAAAGTATATCTGTGTTATGTATTTACCCCGAGTTTTTCCAGATGTTCACGGGGTCCGATCCCCGACAGCATCAGCAGCTTGGGAGTATCAACTGCGCCGCCCGATATTATCACTTCCCGTTGAGCGAACGCCCGCTTCACCTGGCCAAGAAAAACAACAATCTTTGCCAGACAAATTTATACAAATGCTTGAGGTTAAAACAGAATTTTATTTCATTATCATGCATCTTGGTTGAACCGCTATTCTAACTATTAGAATGAATAAAATGATTACTTTATCGACCAGGTACCAAATGACAATTACGGACCAACGTTGCCATATTTTATATCATTTTCCTCGGCAAACATTGATCGGAAAACGTTGAGCTTCCTGTAATGGAGTAAAATGAAGCTTGCTCGTTTTTTAAAGTCTCTACACTCGCATTTATTCATTAAATTATACACTCCGCATTCAATTTTCGCCCGTTAATCGTCAATCAAAGAATCTTTATCACTAGTGATCTAATTCTGGCAATCATGAAAATTTCTAATCTAAAAGTAATTTAGCAAGCTCTTACCTCATTGTTGTGAATATATTTCACTCCAATGGCTCGATTGTCGGCATTCAGGATAATCTGAAAAGTAGTACAACAAAAACGTCGACACACGAATTTGTAACTTATTTTCCAGCTCATAAAAATATAATAGTTCTTAATCTGGAGACTAAATTTAAATATTGATGTCCGTTCAAAAATTACGATAAAAATTATTGTCACAACTCGTAAATTGAACGATACATTTTTTATTTGGAACCTAACAACGCAAAGAAATCCTTGTTAATAAAGCTACAATTGGATTAGTTCGCACTGGTGCAAGGTGTTAATTCCCATCCCCCAGATCCCCAGAGCTTTCAACAGACTGGAAAGAGCATTTTGTTCAATACCTTTATGGCGTAGGAGGAGTCATTTCATGCGATAGTTGAATAGAACCTTTGTAATGAAACTCATCTTATTCATAATAAGAATTTCCATTGCATTATACTCGTATATCGTTTATATTCAGCTTTGTCTTTTGTGAGGTGCGTCCAACATTTACTAGAGTACATTCACGTGAGTTAATGACTAAATAGTGACAAATTATGATCATTTTGTGCGGAAACAGCCCAGAATTTCGGATGTCGGGTGGAACTGATGCTGTTTTGAACCTGTGTAATTAGAGCCTACTCGGTGGATCGAGATGTGCCACCAAGAGGCTTCAGCCATTGCTTCTAATTTTTAAATAATGCTTACAACTGAAATACAATTGAAAATGAAGTACCTTAAATCATTTTTAACTCGGCGAATTTGTCACTACATATGTACATGTACAGGGCGCGTCAGAGAAACTTACTTTTCTGAGGGGTTAATTGCCTAGGCAATTATTTTTGATGAAATTTTGAAATAATCTCATTAAAAAAGTAAATAAAAACTAGGCCTCGACTGCAAACGCTCAAGGTTCGCTCGTACCTTGCTTGATCGTGTATTTCATTAGCGTGCAGGTAAAAATTGAACGCCAACTTGCGGGAAGTCCTTAATACGTCCAGCTCCCTATACCGTCACCTCTTGCCGTTTGGCAAATTTAAATTAAGTAAATTTCTTGGAAGCGCCCTTTACATGCAAGCTTTTTGCATTTTTGGAATGTTGCAGTTGAAGTGTTTAATATTGAGATATAGATCGCATAAGATCACAGCAAACGCAGTCATTATATTTTCAGCTGGATTTGAAATGAAATAAATATCGCTTTTCGCTACTTTTCTAACCTGTATCACTTGAGAGTTGATTTGCAGTTTAAGGTTTCTTCGTTGAAGACCCGGCAACAAGAAAGCGTCGGCTGATGAAATTCGTTCCCTGTTTTTGGTTGTTATTTGGTATAATGAACTGCCTGAGAAGTGATATGAAAACGACAGTTTTATTAGCACAGGTTGTTGCAATAGACTGTTGTGGCGCTCACGTTCGGTTCAGAAACAGACGAAAGTGTAAAAAAGTTAATGATTTTTGCTATCAAACTTCAGTCACGGTTAACAATAAATAAGTTATCAATGCATATAAGATAAATGATTTGGGGTTCTATTCCAGCTATTCGATCTGTTAATTGGTTTGTTCCAGGTTTAGAATTTAAATTATCATCATCAATGCTCTTGGGTGTGTTTTGCCTCCAGTTGTGTTTCTGGCTTGTTTTCACAGTGATATTCGTCGCAAAGTTGTCTGCGTTTAGACGACTAAATAATTCATGAACTTGAAGCTTCCAAAGTTTAATTAATCATTTGGATGACAAGAGCGAGCGTTATTCATCTTTACAACCATTACTGCATAGTTTCTGTTCGAAAACCTGGACCTTGTGATAAACTAAATTCATGTAAAGATAATTTGATGCGTTCTTTGTTTTTTTTTTACTTGATTGCAGAAACATTGTCAAGCAACGTTACCGCGAATGTCAAATTTATTGCATTACCATGTAGACTTGCTGAGGTACAGGAAATTAAAAAGCAGTATACTAAAGTACAGGGTGGGGCAGAACCGATTTAGCAGTTTTGAGGCGAAATAAAAAAGTAATGGAGGTGCATAATGAAGAAAGTTTATCTTCCTCGAGATTAGCATAACATAACATTTAGAATACTTATGTTTTGAAAATAATATCAGGAAGATGGTGGCCGTTAGCTGCAACACACTGTTGGAGTCGTTCTTGGTGTCTCTGAGGGGTGATTTACAGTGGCCTGCGAGGTCACCTGATTTGAGCATTTGCGATTTCTTTCTTTGGGGATATCTAAAAGAGAGGGTGTTCAGAATTTGCCCTCACACCCTTCCACAGCTAAGGAAACGGATTATTGCAGAGGTTATGGCCATGCTACGCCATATGTGTGTACGTGCTGTAGGAAACTTTGAGAGTGTTGCAGCTAATGGCCACCATCTTCCTGATATTGTTTTCAAAACACAAGTATTCTAAATGGTATGTTATGCTAACCTCGAGGAAAACAAACTTCCTTCTTTATGTACCTCCTTTACTCTTTTATTTCGCCTCAAAACTGCTCAATCGGTTCTGCCCCACCATGTGTTAGAAATATACTTTCTATTATACCAGTCGAAGACCGAACAAATAATTTTTGTCTTATTAAGGTAGTGTCCAGCGGATCATTCGATACCTGATCACCTTTGTATCGTCCTTCAACGCAGCGAGTAGCAGCTCTTAAAATGTGCAACTGAATAATTCGAATGCCTCATATGCCTCTTCACACTTGATCAGTCGCGCCGTACAAGCATAAGAAACTTTTGCGTCCTAGAAGGCGGGCAGAATTTTTACCAAATTTCGGTAAAGTTACAATTGAATTATTTATATAATTCTGGATTAACGATTTCGAAAGCTGTTATGCAGCTTCTGATAATTGCTCGTGAACCAAGTATCAGGCACCACCTAATCTGAGGTAGCGCGGCTTTAAATGTTTCGTTCAGCAAACTGAGCTCTCACCAATGTTCGTGTCCGTGTTGTAGTCGATTTCCTCAGGCACCGCCTAATCTGAAGCTAGCGCGGCTTTAAAGGTTTCGTTCAGCAAACTGAGCTCTCACCAATGTTCGTGTCCGTGTTGTAGTCGATTTCCTCAGGCACCACCTAATCTGAAGCTAGCGCGGCTTTAAAGGTTTCGTTCAGCAGACTGAGCTCNATAATAGAGTTTGTAATGAATCTTGAAAATACTTTAAAAATTATCTGGATGAGGTTTATCGAAAGTATAAATGTATAAGACATACCACAACCAATTTTTTTTCTGAATCTGTTATGGAACATACCAGCATTCAAATGAACATGAATGGAACCTGAAACACTTTTGTATTTAAAGCCATAAATTTGCTTAGGATTGGGTCAATACGTCATTAGAATAATATTGTCTTTTGTGGTACACATCGTCTAGTTTTATGTTCATCTCATGATGTCTGCATCATAATGAGAAGACCAACAGACTTACCGTGCTTTTTGCGAACCTATTGGTGTATTTTTGATGAGGTGTCTTGTAATCGTTCTTGTAAGTGGCATTAGGGAACGCTGAGCCAATGTTGAATGCTGGAATTTTGAAAAGCGCTGGAGGTTGGCCGCCAGTTTCAAAAACCAGCACATCCCAGTCTGGCACCTCAGCCAGTCGCCCCGCCACCACACTTCCCGCCGACCCTGAGCCAACTGAAAACAAATACTGGTTGACATTGGACCATTTATATTGTAATCAATTAACCCTCGTCAAATACTATTATTATCTGTCAGTAGACAAGGATTTGAGAGCGCTGCATCACGCGGATTAACAATCACGACAATAAACTGATTAGAAAATCTAATAATTAAATTTATTTAAATGCAGTGGGAGATTACTGGAGATTAAGGTAGACTTATTATATTGTAAACCTGAATGAGAGACAAGCCAATCTTTGCAAATAATCATTTGAAGATAATTAATTCATTATAGATATATAGCTTAATCAAAGAATGTCCCCGTATGGCACTCATTATGTTATTAATGAAGACTCGTAACCTGATGAAGCGTTCGTAATTAAATGTCCGATTGAAGAATTTCATAATATGATCGTAATTCAACTGCTCAAGCGAGTCACACACTTTCGGGTGCTGCGATGGATCTACCATCCAGCTTCCAGCTATAATCCTCAATAAGGTGAGTTGAAGGTATAGGCCGAGCTGGGCAGCGCTACTTTGAAATGTAGCGGCCGCTACCGCTACATGCTCCAAGTGTAGTGGGCGCTACCGCTACCGCTACACCCAGTAGATTGTAGCGAGCGCTACCGCTACAGTAAAATGTAGCGCCGCTACATTAGCCGCTACAATGGCCAAAATTATTGGAAATCTCTAAATATTTATTGTTTGCTATTGGGATTCTGTCTCTTATACACATCTAGATGTGTATAAGAGACAGGTGATATTCGTCGCAAAGTTGGTCT